CAGTGAATCTCTGTAACCAGAGAAAGGATTTCTCTCACCAAATAAGTAGGTAGACCCCTTGGAGAAATAGCTGACTCAGAGTCTAGGGCAATAAATGTAAAAACTGGGCCTAGAAGATTTTGTCATGCCTAAAAGCAATGAAGCTAACTCAGGCTGGCATTCTGTCAAAAGAACTCCTAGGAGTTAATGTGGATGAGTGCCCACGGGTCAAAGATGAACAACTTGAACATCAAATAATAATAATGACAGCAGTGGATTGAAATATATGAAATATTCAAATCTACATGCTTATAATCATATTAAAAATAAAAGTTTTTTTAAAAAAGAAAAAGATTTGATTCCATTTGGAAGAATTTAGGAAATCAGTTTGTCATTCTGAAAACAGGTAAATAAAGAAAAAAAAATATCCCACCTTTCCTGTTATAATTATACCTGAGGTAAACAAATAGTTGAAGAGGAAAAGTTTTTTGATAACTGAACTACAGCTCACAAATGAAGACAGAATGATGTAGAATATCAATTTTTAAAAGATTAGAATTAAGAATACTTGTGTATTCAGCTAACTTTCCTGCCTCTTTTGTGACTTAAAAAAAAGCCAATGAGAATTAAAAGCTTTATGAAGCAAAAAATTAGGGATTGAAAGTTCTTGCAACTGTTTTGCAGTGGTGTCCCTTATCTGAAATGCTTGGACAAGAAATATTTTGGACTTTTTTTGGATTTTAGAATATTTGTATATACCTAATGGGAGCTGGGTGACCCATGTCTAAACAAATTCATTAATGTTATACAAATAGCCTGAAGGTAATTTTATACATTTTGAAATAATTTTGTGCATGAAACAAAGTTTTGACTATAACTCATTGCATGAGGTAAGTTGTGGAATTTTTTACTTGTGGTATCATGTTGGTGCTCATAAAATTTCAAATTTTGGCACATTTCAGATTTTGGATTTTTGGATGAGGGACACTCAACTTGTACCTTAGATGGCAACCAAAAAGCAATTAAAGCAAATAATCTCCAAGTGTAGAAATGTTAACACCTCTCCTTTAGGCTTTGATTATGACATTTCTTGGGTTTTTATAGTTTTATTCATTGTTCTTCCTGTTGCTGTCAATCATTTCAAGAGATCTTTCAAACTACTCTTAAGTGTACAGTAGTATTGACCTTCCTACTCATTGTAAGAATGGAGATAGAACCAAACTATACCATACCTTAAAACTTTCAGTCTACCAGCCCAGAGCCTCAAACAGGTTTTAAACTTACCAGCATGAACCTGGGTCCTTTAAGTGGTATTTGTGTGAATTATAGAGGAATATAGGCTCATGTGGCTTATGTCTGTAATGGCAGCACTTTGGGAGGCCGAGGCAGGCGGATCATCTGAGGTCAGGAGTTCAAGACCAACTTGGCCAACATGGTGAAATCCCGTCTCTACAGAAATACAAAACATTAGTCCAGCAACGTGGCAAGCCCCTGTAGTCCCAGCTACTCAGGAGGTGGAAGCTGCAGTGAACTGAGATCGCACCACTACTGCACTCCAACCTGGGTGACAGAGCGAGACTCGATCTCAAAAACAAACAAACAAACAAACAAACAAAAAGATTATAGAGGAATATAGATTATAGAGGAAAAATAAAACAGACAAATGGCAGTCAGCTTATGTAGTCTTAACTCTGATTTTTAATAGTCTCATATTTAGAGCAGGTAATTATGGATTGTTCTTCTACCTTGCTTCCTTGATTCAGACACACCTGATTTTCATGTTTTAACATTTCTGAAATTTGCATGTGGCTTGTAATACATGTATGTATTTAATGGGGCAATGTTCCCAGGGTCCCCTGTCATCCCTGAGAAGCTATTTAAATTGTGTGTTTTACAATCAATTTTGTCTTCAAATCTTGGAATATGGTAATAAATAATCTTCCTGGATGATTTTTTTTGCAAAATATGTCTTAAAAGTGTTTCATAGAATCCTTTAGAGCAGAATTTTCCAAAGTATTTTCTTTATAATACTAGTTCCTACGTGTTTCTATAAAGGTGGAAGCAGGAGGCTTGTAAGTTTGGAAAATGCATCTTGCTTTCAGAGCTTCATGAAAAACAAAACTCTTTAGGCTCCTAGAAAGCCCATGGTTTAAAAAACAAACAACTCTTTAAATCTCTTTAAAATTAAAGATTCCCCAAACTCATCAGACCCTCAGATCCTTTTCTGTAACACTTGCTAGCATTTGGGGAAATGCTGCTATGTATAGTTGATTAATATGAGTGTTAGAACAAAACATTTTCATCAGGTTGCTTTAATTACTTGCCTGTTACAAATCAAAAAGATAACATGTCTATGCATGTTTATATGTAGTTGTCACAAGAATCACTTCAAAGGCTTGATTGACTGACTAGGTTGTCAACCTAGTCAGCTTTGTTAGACATGAGTTGTTTTTGTTTTTTAAACTGCCTTCAACTGTGCAGTAACTCTGTACTGCCCAGTCAGTAGTAGCCCTATTATCTCTTAGATTTGTGCATCAACTCATTTGCTGAACTTCAGTGTAATGTGTCTGAACAACAGAATTACTGATGTAATATATATTAGTAATATATACTACAGAATTACTGATGTAGTATATCACTGGTTGTCACCCCTGGCAATAGTTTTATTCTATAACTTATTCTACCTATATTTCTTTTTAAAAAACAACTTTATTACCAAATTAAAGTGTATGTATTGCTGGATCTTCATATTGTGTTGTGCTCCTGTATTTATTATAGGCTATTCGTAGTGAATCTCTCGGGGAGGTATCCCCTAGAAATTAATTTATCATAAGAGATAAATCTGTCTCTTCTGTCTTTTGCCTGGGAAAGGAGAAAGTTAGGTGGTTCCTACAAATAGAGAGGAACCCTAATGTCTTAAACTAAGAAACATCTTTGCACAGGAGTAATGGGAGCTACAAAATACTAAGCAGGCGTGTTCCTCAACATCTTCAGTAAAATACTTTCTGTACCAGATGACTCTGCTGAGTATACAGGTTTTTAAATTGAGAAGCAGATAATCCTTACTGCCCTCAAAGAGTTGAATCTAATTGGTGAGACAACAGCTTCTGTAAATGATAAATATTCACAATGCAATGTGTTTCATGTTTTAAGAAATAGATACAGGAGGCTCTGGGACATCCTACTTAGATTGAGCTTTGGTGAAGAAATTAGAAAATCTGAGCCTGGAGACTAAGTAGCACATGGTTATGCAGGCAAGAGGATAAAAACATTGCTTACAGAAGGGACAGACTGTGTGAAAAGCAGGGGGCTGTGAAAGGTAAAGGGCTTGGAGATTGCAGGTAGCTTGGCTTAGGATATCTGTGGTAACAGGATAGAGAATGAGGTCAGACAAGAATGAAGGAGGCCATGGTTATTGTTCTAGGCAGAGTTTAGAAGATTGCCAGTAGATGGTTCTGTTTTTTATTGTTGTTTGTTTGTTTTTCTTTTTGAGACAGTGTCTTGCCCAGGCTGAAGTGCTGTAGCATGATGATGAGTCACTGCAACCTTGAACTCCTGGGCTCAAGCCATCCCCCGACCTTAGTCCCCAAGTAGCTGGGTACAGGTGTGCACCACCCCCACCCAGCTAATTTTGAAATTTTTTTTTGTAGACGCAGGGTCTTGCTATGTTGCCCAAGCTGCGTTCAAGTGATCCTCCCACCTCAGTCTCCCAAAGTACAGGGATTATAGGTGTGAGCCACTGTGCCCTGCCAAATTGATGGTTCTTGATCTGTGTTAGCACTTTTTATATAATCAATTAGTAATGAAAATCAATATTGAATACATGGTGTTAAATTCCTTAATTTTAACGTGCATTTCCAGATGACAATCGTATTACTCCATGTTTATAATATCTTGATGATTCATGAGTGTGATCAGTTAATAAGTTACCCCCAAATGCATTAGCCCTGTTCTTTTTTTTTTTTCCTTGGGACAGAATCTTGCTCTGTCACCCAGGTTGGAGTACAGTGGCATGATCTCAGCTTACTGCAACTTCTACGTCCCAGGTTCAAGCAATTCTGCCTGCCTCCTGAGTAGCTGGGATTACAGGCACCCACCACCACACCCAGCTAATGTTTTTGTTTTTTCTGGGACAGAATCTCGCTCTGTTGCCCAGGCCAGAGTGGGCTGGAATACAGTGGCATGATCTTGTCTCATGGCAACCTCTGCCTCCCCGGCTTAAGTGATTCTCCCACCTCAGCCTTCCAGATAGCTGGGATTACAGGCACCCACCACCATCCCCGACTAATTTTTATATTTTTAATAGAGACGGGGTTTCACCATGTTTGTCAGGCTGGTTTCAAACTCCTGACCTCAGGTGACCTGCCCACCTCAGCCTTCCCAAGTGCTAGAATTAGAGGTGTGAGCCACTGTGACTTGCCTTATTTTTGCATTTTAAGTGGAGAGGTTCTGCCATGTTGTCAGGGGTGGTCCCCAACTCCTGACCTCAGGTGATCGCCTGCCTCGGCCTACCAAAATGCTGGGATTACAGGCGTGAGCAACCATGCCCGACCTAAGTTTTTTATTTTTAGTAGAGGGGTTTTAGTTTTGTTGGCCAGGCTGGTCTCGAACTCCTGACCTCAGATGACCCACCCACCCCAGCCTCCTATAGTACTGGAATTACAGGCGTGAGCCACCATGCCTGGCCATCATTAGCTCTATTATTAAAATTCAGTTTTGCTCAAGTGTAATTTACTTATAATACCAAATTTACATGTACAGTTCAGTGAGTTTTGACACATATGTACAGTCTCATAACCACTACTCCTCTAATCATTATGTAGTGTATTTTCATCAGTCTGTATTAGCCTTTAATCAGAACTTAGTGAAATAAATAATTCTTTGAGTTCTGGAAAATGTAATATTTCACTAATAATGTATTAGTGAAATAAATAATTATTTGAATCCTGGAAAATGAGAGGTATGAAGTTTTATATTTTTAAACAATTATTATATCCATGTTATTTGTTTGTTTCAACCAGTTACCCATGGGTGTATTGTTTCTACAATAAAACTTTTTCTACCGGATGGTATGGAAGCCCGGCTCCGCTCAGAGTGAGTATAATTTAGTACTGTGAAGTTTTTGGATTAATTCCCTTGGTTAATAATATTCTAGATGACGGCATACTGCTAATACATGCTTCAGGATTATTTAAGTTATGTTAGAAAATTGATTAGTACTTTTTGGAATATAATACACTTAAGTTTAAATTGTTTTAGTTGCAATTCTAGTAAATAATAATGTATCAGAGGCAAAAGATTATTTTGTTTCCAAATTTAATTTATATTTTGATGGATAGTTTTTTACAATGTTTCAAGTCTATAAGTTACTGGTAAGTGATAGCTTCATTCCTTTTTATTTTCGTTTACTATAGGACTTCTTAAACTGTGATCACTTCTGGTATTAATGCCAGTGTCACAATCTCACAGTCTTATAAGACCTTGAAGATATAGTTAGCAGCTTATTTTGGTGGGAGTTTTTTGAAGATTTTTTCCAATGTCATGTTTATTTTTTGTATGAAGTACTGTAAAAATCATTTAGAGGCAGATACTTGAAAGGGAAAAATTAACCATAAAATCTAAATTTTAAAAGCATACAGAAGTACATTTTGATCTTGGGCTTTTTAGAGATTAGTATTATGAAGTGTTGAAGGGAGTTGAGCAATCTTTAAACTTCAACATTTTTTATCTGTGGGGAAAGCCTTGAATATGGTAGAAGCTTGTTTTTATACCCAACATAGTATTTTCCTCTCTTTTAGAAGCAGAGGCAATGATCAGAGGGCAGGAGGTTAAGAGAAGTAATAAATTGAAGGAAAAGTAGAGCATTGAATAGGAAATCGAGAAGGAAAGATTAAGCAGAGAGAGGACCTCCCATTGCTGTGTTAGTCTGTGCCTTCTTTAGAATCATTTATTTTATGCTTGTTAGAAGCCCCTTACTTTTGTTTGTTTACTTTTATGGGTATATGAAGCAAAATAGCAGAGATTTTAAAATATTTTAATTCATTTTTATTTTTCCTTTTTTTTTTTTTGGTACTTGGCATATGAAGTAATATTTTAAATTTAAAGCATTAATCTATTTTCTGTTTTCAACTACAGCTTAATAATTAAAATTAAAATAAACCTTAGGACGTTTAATATAACATAGCTTTTAAAATCAAGAGTTAAGGTTTTATAAGTGAGTAACTTAATCAACTAATGAAATATTGCTTCTTAAAGACTTTGATGTTTGTATTTGATAATGGGATTTTTCTTCCATGAAGTTGAAAACTTTGAAGAGTTACATAAGGAATCATCTGTGTTCTCAGGTTCCATTTAACAGAACTTGTGAATTTTTTCAAAGTTGGTTGCAATGTATCATGTCTCTACCCTTCTTGTTTCTCTAATTCTTTTCATCTTTGCCCATTTCCTTCTCATTGTTTGGCCTTTCTTATATGGTTAAATATTAGTATCACTTAAATTTTTGCTGCCAATTTAGTTGTACATAATCTAACTTTCTGGAGAAAATGAATGTTGAACAAGCAATTCTCCAGTGATAGAAGATCAGAATGGCCTTTGCAAGTGGGTAGTCCAGTTTAAAGCCTGACTCCACTTGTTCTGTGACTTGATCAGGCCACATTTCTCTTATTTGAAATATGAAAATGATAGTACTTATTGAGCAGTAATTTTATGAGAATTAAACAAGATTTAGTACTTAAAGAAGTTGGCATAGTACTTGATATATAATAAGTACACGATAAACATCAGCTGTTTATCACTGTAAACTAATTTTTAAAAGCAATTAAGATGCTTTTGGGTGTGCCAGAAAGCCTAGAGTTTAAGGTCCCTTATGTATATAGCATTTAGTGCTTTTAAGAACTTTAAAAGGTGGTACTCAACGAATTGATTTTTTTTCCTTGATTTTTTCTTTCTTCTTTTTTTTTTTTTTTTTGAAGGAAAATTTGTATTGTTTTAATTATCTTTATGTACAGAAAAACTCAACAGTGTACATTTAACCCAGTTTCTTGGCAAGTTCTTTAGCCTTTGCCTTTTCGAGCTTGGCGATGCGAGCCACAGACTTGGGACCCAGGACATTGCCTCACCAGTGACGATGGATCTCATCATATCTGTCATTGTAACTGGTGCGGATAGCTTCCACCAGCTTAGCCAAAGGACCTTTGTCTTCCGAGTTAACCTGTGTGAAGGTGACAGTGGTGCAGGTCTTCCTGTGGACTGGACGTCCCAGTCTTGCCTTCCCCTTGACAATGCAGTAGGGGACTCCCATTTTATGACATAGGGCAGGCAAGAAGACAACCAGCTCAATGGGATCCACGTCGTGTGCAATCACCACCAGCTGAGCTTTCTTGTTTTCCACCCAGGTAGTGACGGTGTTAACTCCTGCTTGAAGGACAGGTGGTCTCTTAGTGGGGACGTCCCCTTTGCCAGCCACTTTCTTCTCGGCCCAGGCCAACAGCCTCTACTTCTTCTCTTGCTTTGTCTCTGGTCTATACTTGTGGGCCAGCTTAAGCAGCTGAGTAGCTGTTTGGTGGTCCGGGGCCTGGGTGAACTGGTTAATTGCAGGAGGCACTTTCAGCCTATTATAGAGGATGGCTCTCTGCTGCTACAACCTAATATATAGTGGGGCCATTTCACAAAGCGGGTGAGGCCTCTTTTGGGCTGGATGTCCTGTCTGATGCCAAAATTCTTAGACCTTTTCTCAAACAGGGGATTCACTACTTTCTTAGCCTCCTGCTTCTTCACGACAGCAGGGGCTAGAGCCACCTTCTTCCCCTTGGCTTTCTTTCCTTTCGGCATCTTGGGCGGCGGGAAGAGAGAGGCTTTTTTTTTTTTTTTTTTCTTTTTAGACAAAAGTTTCACTCTTGTTGCCCAGGCCAGAGTGCAATGGCACTATCTCAGCTCACCATAACCTCTACTTCCCAGGTTCAAGTGATTCTCCTGCCTCAGCCTCCTGAGTAGTTGGGATTATAGGCATGTGCTGAAACACGTGGCTAATTTTGTACTTTTAGTAGAGATGGGGTTTCTTCATGTTGGTCAGACTGGTCTCGAACTCCTAACCTCAGGTGTTCCACCCATCTTGGCCTCCCTAAGTTCTGGGATTACAGGCATGAACCACCACGGCCGGCACTCTTCCTTGATTTTTATTACATTATACAAATAATTTTCTCTTTCTTTTTCTTTTTGAAGACAGTCTAGTTCTGTTGCCCAGGTTGGAGTGCAGTCCTGCAATCTGGACTCACTGCAACTCCCACCTCCCGGGTTCAAGCAATGCTCGTGCCTCAGCCTCCTGAGCAGCTGGGACCACAGGTGCACACCACCACGCCCGGCTAATTTTTTGTACTTTTAGTAGATACGGGGTTTCACCATGTTGCCCATGCTGGTCTCAAACTCCTGAGCTCAGACAGTCCGCCCACCTTAGCATCCCAAAGTGCTAGGATTACAGGCCTGAGTCACTGTGCCTGGCCAATAGTTTTTTAATGATTAGAAACACATGCAGTGGCTCATGCCTGTGATCCCAGCACTTTGGGAGACCGAGGTGGGTGGATCACCAGGTCAGGAGAGCAAGACCATCCTGGCCAACGTGGTGAAACTCCATCTCTACTAAAAGTACAAAAATTAGCTGAGCATGATGGTGTGTGCCTGTAATCCCAGCTCCTCAGGGGGCTGAGGAAGGAGAATCACTTGAACCCTGGAGGCAGAGGCTGCAGTGAGCTGAGATTGCACCACTGCACTTCAGCCTGGCGACAGAGCAAGACTCCATCTCAAAAAAAGAAAGAAAGAGGCTGGGCGTGGTGGCTCACGCCTATAATCCAAGCACTTTGGAGGCCAAGGCGGGCGGATCACCTGAGGTCGGGAGTTCAAAACCAGACTGACCAACATGGTGAAACCCCATCTTAAAAAAAAATTTTTTTTAAAAAAGAAAAAAAGAAAGAAAGGATGGGGGGGAGGGCAGCAAATAACTCTTTTCTTTTCTTCTTTTCTCTTTCTTTTCTTTTCGACAATCTTGCTTTTGTCATCCAGGCTGGAGTGCAGTGGCATGATTTCAGCTCACTGTAGCCTCCACCTCCCAGGTTTTAGTGATTCTTCTAGCTCACCCTCCCGAGTATTTGGGATTGCAGGGAGGCACCACCACGCCCAGCTAATTTTTTTTTTTTTTTTTTTTTTAGACAGTTTTACTTTCGTTGCCCAGGCTGGAGTGCAACGGCATGATCTCCGCTCACTGCAACCTCTGCCTCCCAGGTTCAAGTGATTCTCCTACCTAAGCCTCCAAAGTAGCTGTGATTACAGGCATGTGCCACCATGCTCTACTAATTTTGTATTTTTAGTAGAGATGGGGTTTTTCCATGTTGGCCAGGCTGGTCTTGAACTCCTGACCTCAGGTGACCCTCGTCAGCCTCCCAAAGTGCTGAGATTACGGGCGTGAGCTGCCGTGCCTGGGCTAATAATTTTCTAATGATTAGAAACAGAGAAGCCTGGTGCAGGTGGCTTGTGCCTGTAATCCCAGCACTTTGGGACTCCGAGGCAGACAGATTGCCTGAATTCAGGAGTTTGAGACCAGCCTGGGCAACAGGGCTAAAACCCGTCTCTACTAAAAATACAAAAAATTAGCCAGGCATGGTGGTGAGAGCCTGTAGTCCCACCTGCTCGGGAGGCTGAGTCACAAGAACATCTTGAACCTGGGAGTCGGAGGTTGCAGTGAGCCGAAATCAGACCACTTCACTCCAGCCTGGGTGACAGAGTGAGACTGTCTCCAAAATAAAAACTTTTATAAAAAGAAACAGAGAAATTGCATATAATCCCCCTACTGTAACACTAAATAACTATTTTTGTTTTTCACATTTCTTTGTTATGGTTTTTATATGCACATGAACTTTGTTCATACCAAAATATACCTATATCCAGGGCACTTTTTATAAAATACAAATGTATATCACTTATGGAATGTGTTGCTGAATTTTTAGCCCTTTGTTTATTAATGAGATTGTTAGGAGAACAGAAGATTTTATACTTGGGTCACTAAGAAAGGTGAATTTTTACAAAAAAAAGAAATCTCTGTTATACCATTTCTTTCTATTTAGACTTTTTTTTTTTTTTGGGAGATAGAGTCTTACTGTGTTGCCCAGGCTGGTGTGCAGTGGTGTGATCTTGGCTCACTGCAACCTCTGCCTCCCAGGTTCAAGCAATTCTCCTGCCTCAGCCTCCTGAGTAGCTGGGATTGCAGGTGCCCACCACCACACCTGGCTAATTTTTGTATTTTTAGTAGAAATAGATTTCACCATGTTGGCCAGGCTGGTCTCAAACTCCTAACCTCCCGCATTTAGACATTCTTAAGTTCATTTCACTGTATGTGTGTATCTGCAGAGAAAATAATATATCATTGTAACTCTACAATGGTTATTTCTAAGTGCTGGCATTGAGTAATTTTTATTTCCTCATGATTTACTTCACACATTTTCCATAATCAATAATTATTATAGTAAAAAATAAATTCATGTTTAAAATGCCTGTTTCAATTTTCTGGAGTAGAGAAGGAAAACTAAAGTTGTATGTAATTTAAAAAAAAAATCTTTACTAGCCACCAGCTTTGTTAGGGCCTTGTGATGGGCTTTAGGGATGTAGAGTTGAATAGGTCATAGTTCCTGAGAACACAGATGTATAATCAAAAAGAACAGCAAAGTGTATATAGGCTCAATGAAGTCTGTATCATGGGTGCTCAGAAGGGAGGTGGGTGTTGATACTTAATATTCCATTTTATTCAGCATTTTAGTGTATTTGTGACTATTTGAATTAGACCACTTCTTACAGTGTTTGCAGTTATTAGGGTGGAATCAAAATTATTCCTATTTTAACTCACGTCTGGCCAGTTTTTCAGCAGCTTACACATTATTAATCTATTCAATTTAAGAACTTTCTTTACCCAGTCAACCTTCAAGCTAGCCATTGCAAGATTGGCCTCTAGGATGTGGAATGATTAGCAGCTAGTGAGGTCATGCGTGGTAGCCTTGCTTTGAGTCCCCTATACTCAACCCCAACACACATAATGGTATCTTACAGGGCCTTGTAAAATAGGGACTCTGGCTTCCTTATCTACTATATTCTCATGAGAGTAATAGTAGTGATCAAGTCCTATGTCCAAAGTACTATTTTAAGCTCTTTATTCATATCAACACGTTTAATACTCCCAATGACTCCATGGAATTTGTTGTATGATTACCTCCCATTTTATGCATGAGGAAGCTGAGACCTATATTGATTAGCAATTTGCCTTTCAGCTGGTGAGTAGAGCTAGAATTTGGACACAGTATAGTTTCTTGAGCTGCTATACTACCTTTTTGTCAGCAGTAGTTAATCAGGCTAACAAGACAACTAGTACCAATTAAAGATATCTATTTAATGTTTTGTTTTAAAGTGTTTACTGATTTCAGTTTCATACATACATCTAAGTTTTCAGTTAGTTTCTGAGGTGGCTGGGTGGAGAAGAGGCGTGGTAGTGTTTTGATTAAAGTTGTTCTTCACTGGTACAAGTTTCCAAATTATAACCTTGCTTTCCAGAACTTTGCTTTTTAAAACTTTCTATATAGGAATGTTTAATTTTAGAAGAATGTAGCTTACATATTTCAAAATTGAAAATGGATAATTTTTTTTTTTTTTTTTTTTTTTGAGACAGAGTCTCTCACTTGGTTGCCTAGGCTGGAGTGCAGTGGCACGATCTTGGCTCACTGCAACCTCCACCTCCCAGGTTCAAGTGATTCTTGTGCTTCAGCCTCCCAAGGAACTGGGACTAAAGGCGTGTGCCACCATACCCACCTAATTTTTTTGTATTTTTAGTAGAAACAGGGTTTCATTGTGTTGGTCAGGCTCGTCTCAAACTGCTGACCTCAGGTGCAGGTGATCCTCCTGCGTCAGCCTCCCAAAGTGCTGGTATCACAGGCATGAGCCACTGCACCTATCCAAAAATGGATAAAGAGTACTCCTTTTCTGTATAGAAATTCTTATAATCAGGTAATTCATCACAGCCCTCAAAAAGTAGTGGGTCTTCAAAGAGCATTTAATACATTTTGGATTTGGAATTTGTTTTTAGAAATATATTGATGTGTAAGATAAGTTTATATATTTATTTTTGTTTTCTAAGAACTGTATACATTTATGAAGGATTGAAAAATAGTTCACATTCTTTTAATTATTTGAAGGCAAATGTATAATCTTTGTGGTGTAAGATATTCTGGTACTCTCATACTCTGTTTCCTCTATTGTCCGGATATTAGATAAAACTTCTAAATTTTACTTTTCAGTGTCATCCATGCACCATTACCAAGTCCTGTTGACAAAGTAAGTTGCTAATGATTATTTTTTCCAAACTGACTCAGCTATGTTGCTTTGAAAATGTTTGTTTTTAGTATCCTTTACCTAGAAATTTATTTCTCTTGTGTAACAAATTATGTAGAATGCATATAGCTATATGGTTATTATAATCTGGTCTTCAATATCTGGAGAATCTAGGATGGACGTTTCTTCACGAAAAAAACCTTTGTTATCTCAATTAAATTGTTCACTATGTAAACTAGGAATACCTGTTTTGTATCTAGCCAGGGATAAGGAGTATTCACTGTAACTTTTTATTCTGAGATACAATTCCGTCTAGAAATTTGTTAAAGCTTTCTACTTAAAGAGTTCACTCAACATTTACCAATACAGAGAAGTAGCACAGAAACACAGGCTTACAAAATTGTTCTTTTATTGTCTTTGAAGGTTACTTTTTACCTGATCTGATCAGAAACTTTGCAATAATTGTTTGCTAGAAAACATTTTTCTTTTGTTCAGAAATATTGGTGTATTCAATTATAGATATCATTGCTAATTAACCCTCCAAAATACGTCTTTTGACATTAATGTGGGAGTTGAGTTCTCTTAGTGCAGTAACTAAACTAGTGGAAAAAATATTATTTTACATTTTTCTTCCATTTGAATGAATAATGAAAGCCTGCTTGAAACTAAAATTCTCTGTTAGGTTCCTTTTTCAGAAGTACAAGTAGTTAACCATCAACTTCTGCAATACCGAAGTATTATTCAGAAGTAAATAATGATCCTGCTGATTTAGACCTAACTTTAAAAAATAATGCCAACTTTCTGCTTTCTAGTTAGCATACTAATCAAAGTATACCTACCGAGCTTAGTAAGGACTGGTGCTATAACATTATTAATAAGCTAACACATAAGGGTAAATATTACAGCAACCCAATACTCCTTCCTTCTTCTCCTTCTCCTCCTTCTCCCCTTCCTCTCTCTTCTCCCCCTCCTTCTCCCCCTTTCCCCCTTTCCCCCTTCTCCTCCTCCTTTCCTACTTTTCCTCCATCTTGTTCTTTTCACTTCCTCCTCTTCCCTTCCTCCTCCTCCCCTTCTCCCCCTCCTCCTTCTTTTTTCCTCCTCCTTTTCCTCTGTCTTGTTCTTTGCTCCTCCTCCTCCTTCTCCTCTTCTTCCTGCTTCTTCTCCCTTGTCTCCTCCTCCTCTTCTTTCTTCCCTCTTCCTGTTTCCTTCTTCCTTCTCCCTCTTTCCTTCTTCCTTCTTCATCCTTCTTTCTTCTTCCTCCCTCCTCCTTCTACTTCTTCCTTCTTCTTCTTCCTTTTTTCTTCCTCCCTCTTCCTCCTCCTCCTCCTTCTTCCTTCTTTCTTCTTCTTTTTTTCTTCTTCCCTCCTCCTCCTCCTTCTTCCTTCTTTCTTCTTCCTTCCTTCTTCCTTCCTCCTCCTCCTTCTTCCTCTTCCCCCTCCCTCTTCTTCCTTCTCCTTCTCTCCTCTTCCTCCTTTTTTTTTTTTTTTTGAGATGGAGTTTTACTCTTGTTGCCCAGGCTGGAGTGCAATGGCACAATCTCAGTTTACCGCAGTCTCTGCCTCCCAGGTTCAAGTGATTCTCCTGTCTCAGCCTCCCAAGTAGCTGGGATTATATGTATGTGCCACCACATCAGACTAATTTTGTATTTTTAGTAGGGGGGGGTTTCTTCATGTTGGTCAGGCTGGTCTTGAACTCCCGACCTGAGGTGATCCCCCTACTACCTTGGCCTCCCAAAGTGCTGGGATCATAGGTGTGAGCCACCGCACCCAGCCCTTCTTGTTTTGTTTTTGAATAATGCCATGGTTCTATATTCCATAGCCTTGAAAAAACCTTATCAGAAGATGTTCCTCATAATACTCTTGAGTTCTAAATAGTTTGACTATGATGTATAGTGTTTAAACACCATTACTTCCCATCTTTTTCCTTAAAACCTACCTATGGATTTAAAGAAACATTACTTCAGGCCATTGGACAAATTGTTATATTTCATGTCCTTGCCCTTCCTACACTACATACAAATAATTTTGAAGATGGCTACTTCTAAATGAATGAGGCTTGTTAACATATCAAAGAACTATTTAATGATGAATTTTAAAGGGAAAATATGTGGATCTATTGATTTAGGAGGTTTTATTTCTAGATTAAGAAAAGGCTATATTTCCATCAGAAAAGGGAAAAAAAAAAGTAAAAAGCTATATTGCCTTTGCACTATAAATTTGTGATTTGGTTTATCAAATGTTTTCATGTGTAGCTCTTGTTCCACCACCCTGCTTATAAATTTCAAGCTGATCAGCATGTAATACCATTTACAAATTCTGGATGTCAAGGAGAAATATTTTAAGAACAAGGGAAACTGGTTAATTTTTAAAAGAATAGTTATTTTGCATATGTAGTAAGTAAGTACATTTCAAGGAATTAGTTTGTCTTAATGTTTTTTATGAAGTGTTTTCTGTTGATACTGTGTCATTTGTTTCTAGGTTGCTGCTAACACTCCAAGTATGTACTCTCAGGAACTATTCCAGCTTTCTCAGTATCTACAGGTAAAACTAAATGTTGAGAATTCTTAAAAACAGAATTTCTTCTAAATTTTTAAAAGTTCTTAAACGCAGAGTTAGGGCCAGGCATGGTGGCTAATGCCTGTAATCCTAGCACTTTGAGAGGCCAAGGCAGAAGGATTGTTTGAGGCTAGGAGTTTGAGACCAACCTGGGCAATGAAGTGAGACCTTGTCTCTACAAAAAAGTTTTAAAATTAACCAGGTGTGATGGTGTGCATCTGTAGTCCCAGCTACTCGGGAGGCTGAGGTGAGATCACTTGAACCCTGAGGGTCAAGGCTGTGGCACCACAGCACTCCATCCTAGGCAACAGAGCAAGACCCTGTCTCAAGAAAAGAAGGGCAGAATTAAACAACTGAGTGTGAAAAATACAAATCCATCCTTGCAGAAACAGAAGGAATTTTACAGAAGGTACAGAGAAGTGTTGAGCAAGAAGAAAATAAATGGAAAGTTAAGGTTGATGAATCACACAAGACTATTAAACAGGGGCAGTCATCATTTACATCTTCAGAACAAGAGCTAGAGTGATTAAGAAGAGAAAATAAGGATATTGAAAATTTGAGAAGAGAACGAGAACATTTGGAGATGGAACTAGAGAAGGCAGAGATGGAACGATCTATCTATGTTACAGAAGTCAGAGAGTTGAAGGCACAGTTAAATGAAACACTCAAAAAACTTACAACTGAACAAAATGAAAGACAGAAGGTAGCTGGTGATTTACATAAGGCTCAACAATCACTGGAGCTTATCCAGTTAAAAATAGTAAAAGCTGCCGGAGACACTACTGTTATTGAGAATAGTGATGTTTCCCCAGAAACGGAGTCTTCTGAGAAGGAGACAATGTCTGGAAGTCTAAATCAGACTGTAACACAGTTACAGCAGTTGCTTCAGGCAGTAAACCAACAGCTCACAAAGGAGAAAGAGCACAACGAGGTGTTAGAGTGAAGTAATTGGGAAACTGTTCATTTGAGGATAAAAAAGGCATTGTATTATATTTTGCCAAATTAAAGCCTTATTTATGTTTTTTTTTTTAAATGTTTGTTTTATTTTGCCAATTCACAAATATAGGATTTTAAAAAATGAACTGGATACAAATACAAAAGAAGTACTATCTTTGCAAAAAAGAATAAAGGATTAAAAATAGAATGTATGAAAAAAGGAAAAAGGGTTAAATCTAGAAAATATAAACCTTTGTGGGTTAAATCTAGAAAAGATAAGCCTTTGTACGGGAGGAATTTTTTTTGCTTCAAGTATGAGGGGATTCCAAAACAATTTTGTTTTTTCTTTTTAATTTATTTTTAAATTGTTTCGGGGACAGAGTCTTATTCTGTCTCCCAGGCTGAAGTGCAGTGTCATGATCAGAACTCACTACAGCCTGAAACTCCTGGGCCCAAGTCTTTCTCCTGCCTCAGCCTCCTCCCAAAGCACTGGGATTGTAGGTGTGAGCTGCCACACCGAGCCCCAAAACAATTATTTATCCATAGATGACTTTTATTTTATTCTCACTCTGTAGCCCAAGCTGGAGTGCAGTGGCACAATCTCAGCTTACTGCAACCTCTGCCTCCTGGGCTGAAGTGATTCTCCCGCCTCAGCCTCCCGAGTAGCTGGGACTACAGGCGTCCACTACCATGCCCCGCTAATTTTTTTTGTATTTTAGTAGAGAAGGGGTTTTACCGTGTTGCCCAGGGTTGTCTTAAACTCCTGAGCTCAGGTGATCTGCCCGCCTTGGCCTCCCAAAGTGTTGGGATTACAGCATGAGCCACACCTGGCCCATAGATGACTTTTAAATAAAATTAAAACTGGGAGAGATTTTGATTGCTTAATAATATTAATAGCAAATAATTATATACCACGTATTATATGTCAAACTTCATTCTAGCACTTTTCCTATATTAATTAATTTAATTCTCACAACAATCTTACAAGATACATATTTTATTCCTGTTTTTACCAATAGAGTAACTGAGAGGAAGGAAGATTTAATAATTTATACAACATCACACATCAAGTATATGTTAGAGCTTGGATTTGAACCTGGACAGCCAAAACTCAGATTTTCAGCCTTTTTTTTCTTTTGGGACGGTTTCCCTCTTGTTGCACAGACTGGAGTGCAATGGCGTGATCTTGGCTCACCGCAACATCTGCCTCCCAGTTCCAAGTGATTCTCCTACCTCAGCCTCCCAAGTAGCTGGGATCACAGGCATGTGCCACCACACCCAGCTAATTTTTTGTATTTTTAATAGAGATGGGGTTTCTCCATGTTGGTCAGGCTGGTCTTGAACTCCTGATCTGAGGTGATCTGCCCACCTTGGCCTTCCCAAGCGCTGGGATTACAGGCACGAACCACTGTGTTCTGCCAGATTTCCTGCTCTTAACCACTGTGCTGTGCTGCCAGATTCACAGAAAAATTTTTTGGTGTAGAGCACATACTTCTTCAAGTAAATACTGTATTTAAAGAGCCGTATAATCTCTAAAAAGCAAACAAGTGTTTTTGGGTTTTGTTGTTGTTGTTTGCTTTTTGTAGGTTTGGGCTAGATTATGTTTCTTATTCTGGTGGGGGAGCATGGTTAAGAAAAACCCTGGATCAGGAGATTAGAAATTGAGGTCCTTTTTTTTTTTTTTTGAGATGGAGTCTGTCACCCACACTGGAGTGCAGTGGTGAAATCTCTGCTCACTGCAACCTCCATCTTCTGGTTCAAGTGACTCTCCTGCCCCAGCCTCCCAAGTAGCTGTGATTAAAGGCATGAATCAACACACCTAGCTAATTTTTTGTATATTTAGTAGAGTGGAGTAGATTTTTAGGTTTCACCATGTTGGCCAGGCTGGTCTCAAACTCCTGACGTGAAGTGATCCGCCCACCTCAGCCTCCCAGACTGCTGGGATTTACAGAGGTGAGCCACCGCACTGGGCAAGATTGAGGCCTTTATCTTAGTTCTGCTACTTAATCCACTTTTGTGACCTTGAGTGAGTCATTTTCTGTGGATAGGCCTTCAGTTGTCTTTTGTTTCAAATAATAGAACCAAACCCATGATTCTGGGTCCCTACATTCTTTTATAGGAATCAATCAGTGAGAATAGTTTCATCTTTGTTAAGAATGTACACATCTATGAAAATGAACAGAAAGTTATCAATGTCTTAATCCGATCTTACATTCCACCATGTATAATGTATAGATAGAAAAACATTACACATTTGGATTTTAATAGAGTATTAAAGAGTATTCTAAGCCAAAATTCCCTTGATTTAATCCTTGGCTTTGATTTCTGACCTGCTGGGAAAGTTGTTTAACTCTTTTGTGCCTTGTTTTCCTGATCTATGAAATGAATATAGTAATAGCCCTTAACCTCACAGAATTGTGAAGAATTTAAAAAATTAGTATATATAAAGCAGTTAGAACAGTTCCTGGCACATAGAATGTATGCCATAAATGATAGTAGTTTTTTACCATTCAATAGGAAGGCACATTAATTAAGCTGCTTATTTTAAGAGGTGGAAGAAAACTTTGAGATTAATGTAGTCTAAACCTCATTTTTTAAAATGAGAAATGTGGGGCTCATATAGGTTAAATGATTTGCCCAAGGTTGTATACTGTTGTGACTAGTCATCGTGAATAGCAAATCCCACTCTCTCACTCTCCACTCTTTCCAGCCTTCTTGTTAGTTCTGTGAATATTCCTAATGTCCTAATCCTCTACTGTTCCTTTTCTAGCTCTTTGAAAGAAAATTATACCACAGTCTTTTCTGTATACATCCTTATTGAACTGCCAAAGTTCTGATGTAAATTGTAAACATTTTGAATAAAAACTGGAATAGATGCATTTCATACCCTAGAACTAACTAAAAGACTATTCCTGGACATGTTAGATTTCCGTTAGGAAATAGTTCATGGAGTTAAACTCTAAATGGAATTGAATTAAAAAGGTGAAATTACACCATCTAGTGGAAGTAGATTCTAGAGATATGGTGGGTTGATGGTTTTGTTTTTCAGTAAAACTTTTTGCAGCATCTGAGTAATTTCCTGGATATTAGGAATGTTTTAGGAACTTAAACTTGGCAAATAGTCTATTTTAAGTGAAGCTGTATTTTAATTTGGATTCTAAGATGGTGTGGCTTTTTATTGGATTCTTTAACATATAGCTTTAGAGTTACATTAAAATGTAGTCTAACTCTAGATAGACAAGATTTTCCATAGACATTATTTATAAAGGATGTGGGGAGCAATAAATTCATGCTTTAAACCTCAAGTACTATGTTTGAAGCATATACTTTTCTGTTGAGATGTCTCATAGGCATTAGGGTCATAAGTGTTCCTCTGGATAATGACAGGAATAGAACAAGGTGAAGAAGGTATGCCAAAACCACAGCTAAGTGCTGTGAGCATTTCACCTTGATTCCCAGTGAAGGAGAGTCTCTTAACAGCTATTAACTGTTAACAAGCCACCTAAAGTTTAGACTTTCTACATCAGTGTCTTTTTCTGTAAAATATATCTTTGGAGGTGCCAAATAGTTATTTGAGTCTCCCATTATAAATCCCTTAATTACATTGAACGAGTATTCAGTGGACTCTTACCTATTTTTGGCATATTAATTGCTGCTAAATTATGGGCTGTTAGAACACCTGAAAATGCAATAGGCTGTGTGTGCGAGTGAAGCAGTCTCTCTTTTTAAATGTATATATTGGTTGGGCAAAGTGGCTCTTGCCTGTAATCCCAACACTTTGGGAGGCTGAGGCAGGTAGATCATGAGACCAGGAGTTCAAGACCAGTCTGGCCAACATGGCAATAGCTCACCTCCACAAAAAATACAAAAATTAGCTGGGCATGTTGGTGCATACCTGTAGTCCCAATTACTTAGGAGGCTGAGGCATGAGAATTGCTTGACCCTGTAAGGTGGAGGTTGCAGTGTGCCAAGATCACACCACTGCACTCCAACCTGGGCTGCAGAGTGAGACATTGTCTCAGAAATAAAAAAAAAACAAAAAAAAATGTATACATTTATATAAACAACATTTTTTTTTTTTAAGACGGAGTCTTGTTCTGTCGCCAGGCTGGAGTACAGTGGCGCAATCTTGGCTCACTGCAACCTCTGCCTCCCAGGTTCAAGCAATTCTCCTGCCTCAGCCTCCCAAGTAGCTGGGACTATAGGCATGCACCACCACGCCCAGCTAATTTTTTGTATTTTTAGTACTGTAGAGACGAGGTTTCACCATGTTGGCCAGGATGGTCTCGATCTCTTGACCTCGTGATCCACCCACCTCGGCCTCCCAAAGTGCTGGGATTACAGGCATGAGCCACCACGCCCGGCCTAAACAACATTTTTTAAAGGAAAAATTAAAAGCTATTGCTGTTTTAGATATCATACTTTTGCAGTTAAGCCATTATAAAGTATCTTTGCTGATGACCAGATTATCTTGGCTTCACTGGAATGAGTTTGTTCTGAGATGTATATATTTCACATATATGTGTGTGTGTGTATGTATACACATGTATACATATATACAATTATGCATCGCTTAAAAACAAGCATACGATCTCATTAGGTGATTTTGTTATTGTGTGAACATTACAGATTGTACTTACATAGCCTAGATGGTATAGGCTATTACTCGCCTAGGTTATATACTGTAGCCTGTTGCTTCTAGGCTACAAACCCATATAGCATGTTACTGTACTGCATTCTGAAGGCAGTTGCAACACAATAATATTCGTGTATAGAAACATATCTAAACATAGAAAAGGTACAGTAAAAATACAGTATAAAAGATAGAAAAAGGCCAGATGCAGTGTAATCCCAGCACTTTGGGCAGCTGAGGCAGGAGAAACATTTGAGGCTAGGAGTTCAAGACCAGCCTGACCAACATGGCAAAACCCTGTCTCTACTAAAAATACAAAAATTAACTGGGCATAGTGGCACATGGCTGTAGTCCCAGCTACTTAGGAGGCAGAGGTTGCAGTGAACCAAGATCGCAGCACTGCACTCCAGCCTGGATGAGAGCGAGACTCTGTCTCAAAAGCAAAGAAAAGAAAAAGATAGAAAATGATATACCTGTACAATGCTTACCGTGAATAGAGCTTGCAGGACTGGAAGCTGCTCTGGTTGAGTCAGCGAGTGAGTGGTAAGTGAATGTGAAGGCCTAAGACATTACTATATACTACTGTAGACTTTATAAACACTGTACACTTAGGGTACTTTAAATATATATTTAAAAAGTTTTTCAGGCAGGTGCGGTGGTAGTTCATGCTCGAAATTCCAGCACTTTGGAAGGCTGAGGTGGGATGATCACTAGAGACTAGGAGTTCAAGATCATCCTGGGCAACGTAAGAAGGCCCCATCTGTAGGAAAACAAATAAATAAGATAATAATAAAAGTATTAGCTGAAGGCTGGGCGTGGTGGCTCACACCTGTAATACCAGCACTTTGGGAGGCCAAGGTAGGCGGATCGCTTGAGATCAGGAGTTTGAGACAAGCCTGGCCAACATAGTGAAACCCCATCTCTATTAAAAATGCAAAAATGAGCTGGGATTGGTGGCACTGCTAGTAGTCCCAGCTACTCAGGAGGCAGAGATGAGAGAATTGCTTGAACCTGGGAGATAGTGATTGCAGTGAGCCAAGATTGCGCCATTGCACTCCAGCCTGGGTGACAGAGCAAGACTCTGTCTCAGAAAAAAATAAAATTCCCTGGGCATGGTGGTGTATAACCTGCAGTCCTAGCTATTCGGGGGGCTGAGGCAGGAGGGATGACAAGCTCAGGAGTCTTGAGATTACAGTGAGCCATTGGCATGCAACTACACTCCAGCCTGGGTGACAGAGCTAAACTCCTCTCTCAAAAAAAGAAAAAAAAAAAGTTTTTCTTTCTTCAATAATAAGCTAAACTTAGCTTTTTTTACTCTATATACTTTTAAGTTTTAAAAACTCTTTAACTCTTATATTCACACTTAGCTTAAAATAAACACATGGTACAGCTGTTCTGAAGTATTTTGTTTCCATTTTTAATTTATAAGCTTTTTATTATTAAAAATTTTTTAAACTTGTTTTTACTTTTTAAACTTTTTTGTTACAAATAAAGACATAAATACACACATTAGCCTAGGCCTATGCAGTATCAAGATCCATCAGTATCACTGTCTTCCACCTCCACATCCTATCCCACTTAAAGGTCTTCAGGGGCAGTAAGACACATGGAGCTGTCATCTCCTATGATAATAGTATCTTCTTCTGGATACCTCCTGAAGGACCTCTCTGAAGGTATTTTACAGTTAGCCTTTTCTTCTTTTTAATATGCAGAAGGAATATACTCTATAATTAAAAATAAAAAGTACAGTACATGCATAAACTAATAACAGTCATACATTACTATTATCAAGTATTATATACTATATATAATTATATGTGCTATACTTTTATATAACTGGCAGCACAGTAGGTTTGTTTACACCAACACCTCCTCAAACACATGAGTAATACCGCCTTGTGTTACAATGTTAGGATGGCTATGATGTCACTTAGTGATAGGAATTTTTCAGCTTCATTGTAATTTTATGGGACCACTGTGTGTATGCAATCTATAGGTAACTGAAATGTTGTTTTGTGGTACATGACTGTGTATGTATAGGTATCTGTCTATATACACACACTGTGTGTGTGTGTGTGTGTGTGTGTGTGTGTAAAATGCAAGCCTGAATTTTGTTAGCTTTTTCTGTTGTAGGTTTTTTAAAAACTTGCTCTTCCAAATTATGAATAAAATAATAACAATAACAGATGATTTGTCTTCTGTTATGGGGGAAGTTGCAGTTAGAGAACCTCTAATAGCAGTACTTTCAGCCCAGCAAATGAGACTAAAACGATGTGGCCCGCATACATACCGTAGTCATTTCCTATCTGCAGGGGATATGTTCTAAGACCCCCAATAGATGCCTGAAATCACAGATAGTACCAAACCCTGTATCTACTATATTTTTTCCTATATTTATACATACCTATAGCTTTAACTTATAAATTAAGCATAGTAAGAAATTACCAATAGTAAAATATAACAATTATACCAGTATACTGTTATGTGAATGTCAACGTTCTGTCTTTCTCAAAATATCTTGTACTGCACTATAACTGAAGCTGTGGAAAGGGAAACCAGAGATAAGCGGAGACTGTTGTATATTTTACAAAGTACTATCAAGTTTCACATACTTCAAAATACATCAAGTGGGATGTAATATGAAAATATTTTAGAATGTGTTGAAAATTGGTTAATTCTCAAAAGAATCATGATGAGTTTATCAGAATCTTTTTTGTGATTTATAATATTAGGAGGCCTTACATCGGGAACAAATGTTGGAACAGAAGTTAGCCACGCTTCAGCGGCTACTAGCCATCACCCAAGAGGCTTCAGATACCAGTTGGCAGGTATTCCAGTTGTTTTATATTTAAGAAACATTTAAACATAGTTTAATATTTCATACATGTTAAATAAACAAAAACGTTGTGGCAAACAAAAGCAAAGTTAATTCCTAACTAATGAATAAGTGTTGAAAATTTAGCATTTTACAGTGGATGCTGGTCAGTTCTATGCTTTCATGTCTTTTGTTGTCAGTAGCAACCTTTTTTTATATACGTGTTACTTTGTGATTACTCGGGTTTTACTTACATTTAATTTTTCTTCAATAGGCTTTAATAGATGAAGATAGACTCTTATCACGGTTAGAAGTTATGGGAAACCAATTACAGGCATGCTCCAAAGTAGGTATTAATCTCAAATGTATAAAATGAAATGCATAGTTTTTTGTGTAACATCATTTCTTTAACTATCATTTTGAGTATATGGTAAAAATTTTATACATTTCCACAATTTTTTCAAATCTTTTATCATAAGAAGTTGCAGACATCCATGTAAATAGAAATAATTATGTAATAAATACCCATGTACAAGTCATATACAAGTCTTTTTTCTATTGCAATTAATATTTCCTGAAAAAACTGCGTGATTTATCCTCTAGATAATTTCCCTAAGTCTGCATTGTTATTTAAACATTCTTTTAGCTCCCCTTACCACTCCATAAATTAGTAGTTCAATCTAGTGATTTGATCTGATTTAGGTTCGGTTGTTTTTTTTTTTTTGTCAACAACACTTTCTGGATGGTATTGTGTTCTTCCACCAAGAGACAACATAATGTCTAGTTGTCGTTCTTTTAGAGATTTTATCAATCATTGACGATCCCTGCCTAGATTCATTATTTCATCAAGGTTACAAAATTAGTGATATAATTCTATTATTCCTTCACTTATTTAGCTGGATCACTTCTATAAAGAGAAGTTTCCTTCCAGACACGGAGGCTCATGCCTGTAATCCCAGCACTTTGGGAGGCTGAGGCTGGTGGATCACTTGAAGTCAAGAGTTCAAAACCAGCCTGGCCAACATGGTGAAACCCTGTCTCTACTAAAAATACAAAAATTAGCCAGATGTGGTGGCATGTGCCTGTAATCCCAGCTACTCAGGAGGCTGAGACAGGAGAATCGCTTAAACCCTGGAGATGGAGGTTGCAGTGAGCCAAGATTGCACAACTGCACTCCAGCCTGGGCAACAGTCTTTGAGACTCTGTCTCTAAGAAAAAACTATGGGAGGCAGTTTGAGACCGGTATGGGCAACATGGCAAAACCCAGTCTCTACCAAAAATTTAAGATGCTTAGGAGGGTGCTGCACCCCTATAATCCTAGCTACTGGGGAGGCTTAGGGGGATCACTTGAGCCCAGGAGTTTGTGATTACAGTGAGTTGTGATTGCAAAACTGCACTCCAGCCTTGGTGACAAAGAGAGACTCTGTCTCTAAAGAAAAAAGGAAAATAATGGCCATTATTCTAAGTAACTCTGGCATCAAAAGCCAAATACCACATGTGGTCATTTATAAGTGGAAGCTAAGCTATAGGTATGCAAAGACATACAGAGTAAGTAGTATAATGGACATTGGAGACTCAGAAGTTGGGAAGGTGAGGGGAGTAAGGGATGAAAAACTACCTATTGAATATAGGTACAGTATATTCAATACTAAAATCCCAGACATCACCACTATATAATTCATCCGTGTAACCAAAAGTCACTTTTATCCCTAAAGCTACTGAAATAAAAAAATTTAAATAAAATGAGAAGTTTCCCCATATCAACCATGTGGTGACCCTGAGGTACGTTTTCTATGGGGAAAGCAAGATAAGTGATTTTTCTCCCTTTTTTACTAGATTTAAAAATAATGAATTGGTTCTTTTTCATCTACCAAAGACTAGCCATAAAATGTTTTCTCCCTCCACTTAGATTTAAACATATTTGATGTATTTAAATCTGATGCAGTTGTTTTTCTTCTTTTAGAGGTAGGGTCTTGCTATGTTTTCCAGGCTGGTCTTGAACTCCTGGGCTCATGCAGTCCTCCCATCTTGGCCTCCCAAAGTGCTGGGATTACAGGTGTGGGCCACTGCGGCCAGCCTATTTTTCTGATTGATAAAAGTTCAAAGTATCTCGTCTTTGGTCTATGTAAATGCCTTCAGATTGGCTTCTGAGTCCTTTTGATAGACAGAACCTTAGCCGACTTTGATAGCTTCCTGCTGTCATTTCAGAAAAGATGTTTCAGTCTAATTTTGTACATTTCCTGCCCCAGATACGAAGTCTGCTTTTCCGCCATGGTACTCTTATTCCTTTTGTTTTAACCATTGTTTTAAAATGCTTGATGCCTTTGAAGGTAATTGATTATTTTTGCCCACAAATATAAATATGGTGGATTGCAGAAAATAGGATAAATATAAGAGTAATTATTTTTGTATATTTTAGAGAAATTCTCAATTGCCTTTAACTTTTTTTCTATGGGAAGTGGAAATTAATATGTTTGTGAAGGCATAATTTACTTATACAACTTTTACATGCATCTTTAGTTAATACAGGGCCAGCATCATTTGTGTTTGGAGGTACCTTAATATACAATTTAAAGTGTCTCATAATGTGTTCATTTTTTTCAAACACTAAATGCTTTTTAAAAATAACTTGTCTATAATTATAAATATCTTTTATTCTAGAATAGTTTACGAAAGGAACTTATCGCATTACAAGAGGATAAACATAACTATGAGACAACAGCCAAAGAGTCCCTGAGGCGGGTTCTTCAGGAAAAAATTGAAGTGGTTAGAAAACTTTCAGAAGTTGAGGTATTTCAATAAAAAAAGAAATACTAAATAGTATTGTGAGTGTTTAAAAAACTCTCAAGCGTTCCAGGACACTTTAAACTTGGGTATTATTAGATAGTTAGGAAATATTTTCTGTCTGTCAGACAGGAAGGAACAGTTATGCTGCTTTCATTGACAGGAATTCTCCACATAACCATGTAAGTTTTGGTACCTATGCTCCCTAGTCAATGGCTGAGGAAATAAAAGCGTAACCAGGGAATCTTATTGTTTGCATTCTGCTTAGGATTCACCCTCCATACAACAGACCATGATATGTGCCAGGGAATTGATTTTCTGTCACTTGGTTTTGCTTTGCTTCTATTTGAGGGTGGTCACTGTAAGGCCGAGCGCCTACACTACTTATTCTTTTTCAATTCACCCGCCAGAGAGGAAAGCTGTGTCTTATATTTAGGAGGTTCAAAGAGGAAATGATCTCCAAGGTCCTTTCTAGGTCTTTAAGGAACAATCAAAATGCAATTTCCATTGCTTTGGGGAAAAAAACTCTAATTCATAATATAGATCACTTCTTTGAACCACTGCAGAATTACCACAGAAATAATGTACTACTGGAATTAGTTAAAATACTCATCAGAAACTAAATGGTAAACATACCTTTCCATACTACAGGTATAGTTTGTATTGCTACCCCATCCCACAGTGCCTGATTCACTGTCGACTGTCGTGTGATTAATTTGATATATCAAGAAAGAAAGTTGCTAGTTGTCTTTTAATTTTTTATTAAATTAGTTGTTGCACATTATTAAACTTGCTTTCAAGGATTGATAGGCTTAAAATAGTTTCACTGCTAAAAGCCATACCCATTGACCTTTCAAAAACGTAATTATAGGCTGGGCAAAACAGCTCACGCCTGTAATCCCAGCACTTTGGGAGGCTGAGGTGGGAGGAGCACCTGAGGTTGGGAGTTTGACACCAGCCTGACCAACATGGAGAAACACCGACTCTACTAAAAATACAAAATTAGCCAGGCGTGGTAGTGCATGCCTGTAATCAATATCAGCTACTCGGGAGGCTGAGGCAGGAGAATCGTTTGAACCCGGGAGGTGGGAGTTGTGATGAGCCAAGATCATGCCATTGCACTCCCGCCTGGGCAGCAAGAGCGAAACTCCATCTCAAAAAAAAAAAAAGTGATTATATAAAGGCAGCAAACATCCTTTTCCTGCCCCTACTCTCCCTCTACTTTTCTTTTTTGTTGTTGTTAATTCTTAGTTATGTTTTCTGTTTTAGTGTATACCTGAAGTAAATTGACATTCTTAACGTTATTTAACTCAGTTTTATATAAAGTCCAGTGCAGATGTTGATTTAGAATAGTCCATAGAATTATACTTTTTAAAAGTTGATTTTAGGAGGAATTCTAAATAACAAATGTACATTTATTCTAATTAAATCACCTGCAAACTTGAATCGCAGCGAAGTCTGAGTAATACTGAAGATGAATGTACCCATCTGAAAGAAATGAATGAAAGGACTCAGGAAGAATTAAGAGAATTAGCCAATAAGTATAATGGAGCAGTTAATGAGATTAAAGATTTATCTGATAAATTAAAGGTATGTATTTACTCTGCCTAAAAGTATGTTAAGCTAATAATCCCTAACACACTGGATAGCTTAAGATTTTAGATATTGCTGAATAGTTATTGATGTGAAAATTTGATAACAGTTAAAATTTATAGTGAAAATAAGGTGTCTATATTCCATTTAGCCCAACCTCCATTATTATAGATAAATGAAAGCCTGTAAATGCTGACATAGTTCCTCTGGATGCATATGTAGCCAGTGCTTCACAATAGATATTTTTTAATATTTAAGAGGAAGTAGATGAGAATCGGAAAAACCCATGATATTCAGATGTTTTAAAACTTAAAACTGCTTATCTTTAGGCCATCAAAAAGGCAGGGCGCCCTATTTAGTGCTGTACTGGCATAAGCCCAGAGAGAATCTGGGAATTATCTGCTCCCTTTTAGCTTTCAGGGATGCTGTTAACTCTGCTTTACTGCCATTCCCTCTATCTATGAGACATTTAGGATAAGGATAGATCAGATCATAGGGTAATGATAGGGTAATGTCTGGTTGATCCTTTGAAATCTTACAACTGAGAAAAAAAAATGAAAAAAAAAATCTTATAACTTTTTCTGAAGATCCTTCTTGATTTAATTCAAACCATGGATTGAGTGCCTAGAAGATAAGTGTTTGTTGAGAAGACCAGAGCATACCTCCATTGGTTAACCTATGATAGTTTTAAAGGTTGGTCTTATTAAAAGGAGATTGTCGTAGTCCATTTGTGTTGCTATAAAGGAATAGCTGAGGCAGGGTAATTTATAAAGATAGGAGGTTTATTTGGCTCACAGTTCTGCTGGGTGAAGCTTCAGGCTGCTTCCACTCATGGCAGAAGGCAAAGTGGAGCTGGCATGTGTCCATGGTGAGAGAGGAAGCAAGAGAGAGTGTCTGGGAGAAGTGCCAGGCTCTTTTGAACAACCAGCTCTCATGGGACTAATAGAGTGAAAATTCACTCATTACCATGAGGACAGCACCAAGCCATGAGGGACCTGCTCCCAATAACCCAAACACCTCTCATAAACCCCACCTCCAACACTGAGGATCAGATTTCAACATAAGCCTTGGAGGGACAAACATCCAAACTATAGGCAGAGGTCTTTTTGAATAATGATTGTACTGTCATCTCTTTAGCTAAACAATTTGTTTGGGGCCGGGCGCGGTGGCTCAAGCCTGTAATCCCAGCACTTTGGGAGGCCGAGGCGGGTGGATCACAAGGTCAAGAGATCGAGACCATCCTGGTCAACATGGTGAAACCCCGTCTCTACT